CTCTCTCTCTCTCTCTCTCTCTCTCTATATATATATATATATATATATCGTAAGTTTCACAGGCAATTAATAATCATCAATTCCTATTTAGTAAATATATTTCTATGATTTTACTTAGCTGTTAATGCTTTGTGGCCATTTTATGAGAAATAACTATTTGTTAAATATATATTTTTAAGTTTCTTTTTATTGTTTGAGACTAGGAAATTTTAGGAATATGTTTTCATAAATTATAAAGAAAATATTCCTCTCATTTTCTAGGGTTTTATTTACATATATTATTTGCAGGAATACTTATTTAGCCACCACAAGTATTGGAGAGAGGTTTTTTCTTTGGCTTCAGGGAAGGATTTTGTGGAAATTTTTTCTTTGTTTTGTAGCCTTTCTTTATCCTATTCCTCTTCCTTTTCTTTTTTTGTTCTCTCATGGTAGAGGAAAAAGAAGCAAGGTAACCGTTTTGTGGGTATAGGGAAAGGAACAAGGGAGACAATTAGTTAATATAAGAAGTCATAGTCTATGAGTAACTTGTTTTTATTCTTACTTTTTTTATTTCTTAATTACTTATTTTTATTCTTTATTGTTTATCAGAACTCAAATTCTTTGTTGGCGGATACTTTTTTAGTAGGGTCCCTAGTCTAGAACAGAGTTTCATGCTACTGTTCCATTTATACTTTATTGATGTGTTACACGTACTCTGGTTTTTCTGCTGAGAATACATTTAACCATGACTAGGTTATTTGATGAGCTTTCAATTAAAATCAGTCATGACAATTACTTGAATTAAAAGAGATTGTATAGAAACATGTTTTCTTCATATTTTTCTTACTTCTTACTTCCACAGAAAGAACATGTTCTCTGAATAACTGCACAGTGGCCAAAAGAATTGGAAAAGGAAAAGATGCTACTGTCATCTTTGAGCATTTCAGGAAACCTATAGAACCATTTGTTCAGGAAAACTGTTCATGCAATGCACTAAATTCAGAGATAAATCCTTCTAACTCCAGTAGTTCTAATTCCTTTGGAAATGGGCAAAATGGAAACATTTCTATACTTGAAACACACAATGGCCAGACAGAGCACTTAGCAGAAAGTAGTAACACTTCTCAAGTATATGCACAAGATTCAGGTCTTTTATTTATGTCTGATGATACCAGAGAAAGTGTTAATGGTGACCTCTTGTTAAATTTGACCTATCTTAAAAATATTTTAAGTGGAATTGCTTCTCCCCTTTACAGCAATATTGGCTCAAGCACAGTTACTACGTCAAAACTTATCAAAGACCCAAGACTAATGAGGAGAGAAGAAAGCATGGGTAAACAGAATAATAAAACAGGTGTAAATGAGATTTTGGCATTTGAGAAGAGCTTAGATTCTGTTAATTCAGAAGTAAACTTGTCATCTGTATCAACTAATTCTGTCTCCTCATCTGAAATCATCCCGGATGATCATGTGATTCTTCCTAATTGTTTAGATGCCCATTGCTTCAAAATTCCTTTTGATGATTCACAATCTCAGGTTCATAACATGTGCTATGGAGACTATGATTATATAATGCCCAATAAAATTACCATGGCAAGGCAATGTAAGGGCCAAGGCAATATTACCTTCCCAATTTCTCTTTCAAAGATACTTTCAGAAGTTGATAACCAAAACTACAGTGACGAAAAAGTCCACAGATCCCAACAGAGAATCAACACCCCACTTTTAATTAAACAAAATAGCAAGCCACATAACTTCTACGAACCAGTGAATACTTGTACAAAAGACTACAGAAGTCACATCTCTCAAGAAACACAGTCTTCTGGTTTTCAAACTGTGTGTCAAACTGATCACCAAATGTCCACAGTTTCTCCATTCCAAAAGAAAGAAAGTATAGATGACTGCATTCAAAATATTGGAAATATGAGGAACCTTAATATTGATCCAGAGGACAATTCCAAACACAGAGAAGAGCAGAATTTTTGGAAAGAAATTGATCATTGTTTCACCAATGAAACAAAAGCCAGTCTAATAGATAATTGCATTTCATTGCACCAAGAACATAACAAGGGTGAAAGTCTTGATTCTTCAGGAAAAAAACACGATCAAATATTACTTTCTCAAGAATTAGAGCTATCAGTATCTTCCATATCTACCACAAAGGATAAATATGAACTAGATAGTCTAGCTAAGGAAGTACAAAGTAATCTAACTCCAACTGTAGGTAGCTTTTTGCAAAACCATCCTCAACATTCTTTGGAGTATAAAAATAATAACATTCACACAAGTTTTGTCATTTCTCAAAAGCAAATGGAACTTACAGGGGAAAAAACAAATCAAAATTGTGTTAGCATTATGACTGATGCTTTCCAGGAAGCAAAAGACATTTCTCAGGTAGAAGAACAACTAATTGACACAGTTATTTCATCTCATGGCATTGAAACAGCTCATAATAATTTCAATTGCAATATAGCTAAGGAAAATATATGTGTCCCTAGAAAAAATGAAAATGAGTTAGTGTTATTAGAAGACAACCACAAAGATTTCAAAGATACTCCTCATATTGAAGATAAAAGTCAAGATCATCCTTTTTTCTTTGATACACAGCTGAACAATGATATACTCCTGAATATTGATTTCAAAGAACAAAATGATAATGAGAATGACAATCAACATGAAACTAAAGAGGAAGACATTTCTTCATCTGTAGAGGACAGCCTAGAGAACATACATGGAAATGAGCAGCAAGTTTTTCATACAATCAAAAATTTTACTGATACAGATGAAAGAAGGGAGAATAAAAATTGCAGCAATGTAGAACTTCTGATATCTGAAAATTTTTCAACCACGTTTAATATGAGTTGGGAAGAAAATTACCTATCAACAGAAACTACATTGATCGAAAGTGAAGATATTGTTACTGCCTTAAAACAAAATGATCCTCAAAATAGTGGAAGAAGTTTACAGCATCTGGCTTCCACAGTGTTGCCAGAAGTTCCAGGTTCTACAGTGTGTGCATCCTCAAATCCTGAAGTACAGATAACTAGAACTTCTTTTCCTGCATTGAGCACAAATCATGAAGATCATCAAAAATACCTGTTCAAAGAAACTTGTTTTTCTGAGAGTCCAGATTTTGATTTGTTAGTAAAACATAGGATTTCTGATTGTGGAGTTGATATGGATATAAATACATCACCAGACTCATTTTATCAATCAGTAATAAATGAGAACTTGGTTATTCAAAATTTGGAATTGGAAAATGAGATTGAAGTAGTAACAGAAGAGTGTGATGACGCTTTTGTATTTCAGCAAGATACATATAGCCATGGAAATGTGCTTCGTGAAGAATTGGAGGCCTCATATGAGGCTCTAAAGGCTCGTATCAACTGGGAAGCTCTATTTGGAAGCAGTAACTGGGAGACAGAAGCTTTGGAAAGCACCAAAAGAAAGGTGAATACAGATCAGCATTCTTCTGAGGAACATAATTATTTTTATTCTTCTACACAAAACACCAAAGCAGAGCTTCTCAACCCAGTTTTACTTCCAGATCTACAAATTACAATCACTAATGATTTTAGTCCAGGATTCAGCCCCACTCCTGACTCCCATGTGTTTAAAGATAATTTTTACAAATGCTTAACTGAAGCTGAAGAAACAGAAATAAACAAGGGAGAAAAGGTCCTGGGATTAGGAATTTATCCCCAGTCTTCTGGTGAAAATTCTTATTACCCATGTGGGGATAAATCTGATAATATAACACAAGAATCAGGACTAGTGAGTAAATCTGCAACTTCCCTTTCTTTTGACGTAAGTCACAATACACACATAAATCACATGTCTGGAAAAGAAAACAATAAATCTTTGTTTACTGGATCTTCAAATGTTACAACAGTAAATAATGAAAGCAGCTGTGCCTTTGCAAAATTACATACTGACTATAATGATACTAGAAGTAAAAAGCACATGGAATCAAGAGTTAGCAAAAGAAAACTGCATTCATCTTTTAGTGACCAAAACATATCCCATAAAGATAAAAGACGGCATGAAATGTATGAGAAAAAGAGGAGGCTAACTGGTCAGGACTCATATGAATGTTTTTTGTCATTATCCCAAGGACGATTTAAAATATTTTCAAAGTCAGAAAAACACATTAAGAGTGTCCTGGATATTCTAAATAGTGAAGCATCTTTATGCAAAAGCAAACGTCTTTCCAGAAAACTTGACAAAGCTGTTCTTCACTTAAAGAAAGCTCATAGAAGAGTTCACACATCCTTGCAGCTGATAGCTAAAGTGGGAGAAAAAAAAAAAGGGCCATTACCAAAATCATATGCAATAATATGCAATAATTTCTGGGAAAGTTGTGACCTTGAAGGTTATAGTTCTGTATATGAAGGAAAATATTACTCCACTAAGCACTTTTTTTCAAAAAGAAGAGATAACAAAGAAAGTGAAAGAAGAGCTTTAGAATATGATGGTAAATCATTAACTCATGTGTCAAAGCACAAGTCTTACAAAAGAAATGGAGAGAGAACCACAGAGACACTTTCTAAAAGGAATATAGCCAGCAGTGTTTCTAGAAGTCACACCACTATTCACATGAAAGAATTTTGTGATCAAGAACAACATCCTGAAACACAGTTATGCCTAGCCTCCACATCCCAAAGTACAAGTCAGTCAGCTTATAACAAGGGCAGTATGAACTTACCAGAATCATCAGAACTTCAGCCATTGTCTGGAAAAACTAGATGTCTGTTTTCACCAGACCACCCAAATGAGAAGCTACCTGAGAAAGAAAATCAAATAGATAAAAATGTTTTATCTAACATCGGTAAATATGAAAAGTTTGAAACCCGTTCAACACATAGTAATACTAAGGATGTAGCAAAAGAAATCCATTCCATGGCTAATGAGGTAATAAATAAAAGTAACTCAGTATCTTTAAGTTGCATGAAAGAAAGTGTAAATGTTAACACAAACAAAAAATATGATGCATCCCATATAGCTCACACAGAGGTGAAAGCTGACATACTTATTTCAGTCTTAGAACCAAGTGCAAGGTACATTTTAAATGTTGATACCTACAAACCAGATAACATTTTATCTGATTGTAAAAGAAACCTGGAAATAAATTTTTCTATAGAAAAATGTCCAACTCCTGTTGAGCACTCTCAACCAAACATTTTCACAAGAAATTTCTCTGTAGACCCATTAAACTTAACTCTGATGACAAGCAAAAAGTATAAGCAGTTTTCAGCTGCTCCGGTGACAGATAGTGAGGGACATGCTTGGAAATCTTATTTGGACAAACAGAGAATTTTTGCTGTAGATTCTTTTGCAACATTCACTCTTATATCACATCAGCAGGAATGTGGTGGAAGGGAGCTTCTAAAGAGAGAGCAATGCTCTTCCAGTAATTGCTCCCCAATAGATGGGAATGACACAAATGTTACTGAGAATTCAAACTTGAATCTAGCATCAGTAACTGAAGAAAAAAGTTATGGGAAAACTACATCAAAGAAGCTATTTTCCAATGACAGTTACCTACTCTTAGCAGATAATGTAAAGGTTTCTTTTTTGCAACAATGTGTTGCAAAGAAAAAGGTTCAGGACAGAAAAACGTGGAAAGTTAAAAGAGCTGAAAAAGCAAAGGATTCAATTGGAGATATATGCCACCAAAAGAGCAGGACTGAAGAATCATCTTCTAAGACTGGGTACAAAAATAGAAAAAAGATCTTAGAAGAAGAATCCTCCTACTTAAGTGGGAAAACAATGAAACACAACTTGATTGAGTCTCATGTAAGCACTGCAAATGCCACTTACTCTAAGGCACTTCCTGTGAATAACACAGTTCCTAATCCACTTAACAAAAAAAAGAAAGAAAGAAAAGTTAACAGTTACTCTCAGTCTGATTCAATAGTGCATTGTGAAATAACTTGTAATTTCAAACCAGGCATTATAGGAATTGACCATCCACCTATTTCACATGTCCACCCAGAAAACTCTAAAATCACAACTTTTCAGAAGAAGCCTATGTTATACATGAATGGATTAAAAGAAAAACATGACTCAGCTCATCATACTGCTCTTATAACTAAGCTATCTCAAATTTTGCAAAGGGCAGATGAAGCATCATCTTTGCACATTCTGCAGGAGGAAAGTAAGATTTGTCAAAATATTCTCCCTTCATTTGTTGAAGCTTTTGAAAGAAACCAAGAATGTTCACTCGAACAAATCTTGATTTCACGAGAATTGTTGGTACAACAAAACCTGTGGGATAATTGTAAAAACAAGTTAAAACCATGTGCTGTTGACTCTTTGGTAGAGCTCCAAATGATGATGGAAACTATTCAATTCGTTGAAAACAAAAAAAGACTCTTAAGAGATGAACCGACATTCCGAAGCTTGCTTTGGTATGATGAGACATTGTACAGTGAGCTGCTTGGTGGGCCACGTGGTTATCAACAGCAATCTAATTTTTATCCTGCTTTTCAAGGAAGGTTAAAATATAATGCATTCTGTGAGTTGCAGAAATATCATGATCAGCTAACTGAATTGTTGGAAGAAACGAAAAGAGGAAAAAATTCATACTATGCATTCTTGAAATACAAACGACAGATTAAAGAGTGTGAAGCTATAATGAAACATTGTTCTGATTGCTTTGACTTTTTTCTTTCCGTTCCATTTACCTGTGGAGTTAATTTTGGCGATAATTTAGGAGACCTAGAAACCATAAGAAAAAGTACTTTAGAGCTGATCAGTGTATATGGGAACTCTGCTAAAGTTCATTCATACCCAGGAAAACAAGACCACATGTGGATTATCATAGAAATAATCTCTTCAAAAGTTAATTTTATCAAGAGTAATGAGGCAAGAAGTATTAAAATATCTCTTTATGGTCTAGAACATATTTTCTTTGATGCTGCAAAAAATCTTGTTTGGGAAGAGAGAAAACAATCTCTAAACAAAAAATACACACGAAAGAAGTATAAAGAAATGCTACTGAAAATTAATCAAGATGCTTTTTCTAAGTTGCAGGAGATATATGACACTTTGTCTGAAGGTTTAAGCAGGGAACAAATTTCTGGTATTGGACTTGAGAAGGAAACCATGATTGCTTGCAGAAAGTCAGATAATCTAATAAACAAAACAACAATTAGGTTTAACAGTACTTTGCTTTCACACCCAGATATTTGTTGTATTAGTGAAATATTGGATCAGGCTAAACTTGCAGACTTTAAAGAATTACAGGAACTCAGTTTGAGATGTACTAATCACTTGGAAATTTTAAAAAAATACTTTCAGATGTTGCAAGAAGATAACATAGATAACATTTTTATCACAGAAGAAAATGCTTTGGACATGGTGAAAAATCAAAACCGTGGGGCTGTAATTTTAAAGCCTGAAGCTATTGAAACATATATTGAAATAGTCATGATTTTAGAAACCATGCATTTCTTGAAAAACTCAATGGCCAAGAAACTAGACAGGCAGAGGTTTCGAGGTATGCTTTGGTTTGATTCATCACTTCTTCCTGAGCTGGTTCATTGTCAAGAAAAAATGGCTTGTTTTTCATTTCTTAAAGATGAGTCAACAGATTGCCTTTGGAAAGTAATAGAGACAGCTATTTCTGAGCTTAAGAAAGATATGGATATTATCTACAAATACAAAGAAGCTGTTAATTGCTCATATGCTCTTCATTTGCTCTCAAGAGAACTTGAAGAACTTTCAGAAATAAAAACACTTCTAAAGAAGTCTGAGTGTTCCATTTCCGTATACATAGATTTTGTGCCATATATAGCATCTGTAAATTACGGAAGCACTGTGACAGAGTTAGAATACAACTACAATCAGTTTTCTACACTGCTTCAAAATACAAGGGCTGCTCCTTGGAAAGATTTAGGAAAAATGGCCCATATTATGAGAGTCATGAAAACTATTGAACATATGAAGATTATATGTACTAAAAATGCTAAATTAACTATTTCCTTTATCCTGCGCCAAATGCTGTATAACAGAAAGAAAACTTTGCAATTGAAGACAGAAGGAAAGATGAATATTCAAGTTATAAAACATGAGAAGAGCATTAATGAATCCAGTACTTGCATGAAGGTGCCCTCAATTCCAGAGTGCATTTCAAATTCCTCTGTAAAACGACCTATCATTATAGACTTAAGGGAAAACGCTCAGGAACAAGAGAAAAACATTACTCCTTCCGTTTCTAAAAAGCAAAAGGTATGAATGTTTTAAACAAAACGTGTTGTAAGTATTCTTTTTGAGAACAAATCCACTCTAAGCAAACAAGTAAATAGAATTGTAAAATTGAGAATGCTTTAAATTTTGGCTTGCAAAATGAGTCTACTAACTAAAATACTGGATTAAACCATTTCTATTTAAAATGATACAAATGTTCACTTTCAGTACATGATTCCATATATGGGAGATACCTTGCAAATGTCTGCTTTTTAAATTTACAATTCAAATATTTAATTTAGAAAATATTTCATGAAAAAATATAAATTTTAATAGCTTCTTAAGGAAAATCTTATGAATGTGAGTTAAGTGAATAAGTATTTATTGAGTAGCTTCTACACAAAAAAATCTATGCCCATGTAGAGAATATTAAAAACATTCTTCAGTGTTATCATCCAGTGTACATATAGGACACATATTTTAAAACTGATGATTAGCAAGGAATTAGAGGAAGTCCCATCTAAAGACATTTAACAAATTTTATATAGCATTTATTATGTACTTGGCACTATACTAAGGATTGTACAAATATTACTAATTTGTTCTTTACAAAATCTTTATGACATATGCAGTATATTGTATAAAGATAATTAACTGGGGCACAGAAAAGTTAAATAAAAAGTTAAATTTCAAGATCACAGAGTTAATAAATGGAGAGCCAGGATCTAAAACCACATACTCTTGCTCCAGAGCCCATGTTACCTACCAATTGCCTCTCCCCTCCTCCCTACAACTTTTGGAGAATTTCTCAGTTCAGAAAAAACAGAAACCTACGTGCAAAATGAAAAGCATGATTCTTTCTTTGCCCCTTTACACTTTCTAAGTCTAATTATATTGATTAAATTATTTCTGACATGTTGTTGTTAGGTGCCGTAGAGGTGGCTCTGACTTACAGAGATCCTATGTATGGGCAATCCTACTTCCGTAGTGATACTGCCTCGGAAACCCAAGGAGGGGTCGCTATGAGTCGGGGCCGACTCGACGGCACATAACAACAACATAACAAATGTACAACAGAATGATTGTTATATCTACCCGGTCCTGTGCCACCCTCACAATCTTTGCTATACTTAATATTTCTAGAGACCAGGAATTTAGTCACCACTTACTGAGTTGTGTTTTTAGGAAAATGCTTAAGAAAAACCACTTACAAACAAACTTCCCTAACATAAGAACACAAGTTGTATACTCCGCATCAAGAGTAAAGTGAAGGTGATACTAAGAAAGGTTTATAGGTATTGAGAAGAAAAGCAAAAAACAAAAGCTTAGATTGTTACAAAAGATTTATTTCATGGAACACAAAGCTTTCCCTTAAAGGCAGGGGAGTAATATCAGATGAAGGTAAAAATGAAAAAGATGTTTCAATTTTGGAAAAAGATGTTATCAAAGACATCAAGAATGCTTATTGACATCATGTAAAAGATGAGTTTAAGTCTGGAACAAAAATTTAGAGTACAAAAGTAGCGAAAGATGAAGAGTAAGTGTTTCAGATTACACAGTGTTTTAAGTGTAGGAGTTTAAACTTCATTCTGTTGATATTAAAGGGTATTGCCATATGAATTTTTTTTTCTGATTTTTTAAAGGGTACAGAGATTCAGAGTACAATTAGAAGTCAGTCATCCAGGGATTAGAAAAGAGTGCTTGCTGTTCATAGAATAAGAGAGGAAAATTGGTATTTGCAGACATCACTTAAAGAATTAATAGGGCTTAGTGACTGATTTAGGAGCTATGGTGGCATAATGCCTAAGCCATTTGACTGCTAACCAGAAGGCTGGTGGTTCAAACCCACCAGCCACTCCTTGGAAGGAAGATTGGGCAGTCTACTTCCGTAGTGTTACTGCCTCAGAAACCCAAGGAGGGGTGGCTGTGAATTGGGTCACTCGATGGCAATGAGTTTAGTTTGAATTTTAGTGACTGATTTACTAAAAAGAGCATAAAAGAGAGAGCTTAATAGTTCTCTCTTAATAAATGAGCTGCTAAGAATACTGGGCAATCTATTTCTATAGTGATACTGCCTTGGAAACCCAAGGAGGGGTCAGTGTGAGTCAGGACTGACTCCACGGCAGTGAATCTGGAAGTTGGTTTTAAGACAAGAGGATAAAAAAATTTTTCCAACTTTTCTTAAAAAAATAGCAGTTACTCCAGACATATATGAAATATGGGAAGTCAAGCAAACTCACCAGTTTTAGGAGAGGAGAGCATTAAGGAGTTTAATTTTATACTGTATTTTGGGTGACAACACAACAATCACAAATGTCTGATATTAAAATAGTACAATTTTATATTGTTTAAATTATCAACAATTTAGAGTTTCTTTGTGTCTCTGAAACATAGGTTGACATGAAAGATGTCACAAAAATCAACAAAGAAAAAGCAGCTTTCAGGAATTCAAGGTAAGAATTGCCATCAGTCCGATCTTAAGAGAAACAAAGCAAAATTGGGCAAATCTTAAGGGATAAGAAAAGAAACAATTATATCTATAACACAGCTGTGGTGGTGCTGTGATTAAGGTACTGGGCTGCTAACCAAAAGGTTGGCTATTAGAAACAACCAGCTACACTACAGGAGAAAGAGGAAGCAGGCTGCTGCAGCAAAGATGTGTTGTTGTTATGTGCCATCAAGTTGTACCCAACTCATAGCGACCCCTTCTTGGGTTTCCAAGGCAGTAAAGATGTAGAGCCTTGGAAACACTGTGGGGCTCGCTATGAGTCAGAATTGCCTGCTGGCAATGCGTTTGTTTGTTTGTTTGTTTTTTATTTAGAGCATACATGTAATTTAGGGGACAAGAATAAGCTAAAGATATGGCAGAAGGTCTTTACAGATTGTAGACTGTCATAAGTATTAGGCCAAAGAAGTTTAAACTTCATTCTGTAAGTATTGAAGAGTAATATCATGTAAAGTGTGTTTTTTCTATGATTTAAAAGGTAAGGAGATTCTGAGTACAATTGGAAGAAGTCAGTCATCCAGGGCTTAGAAAGGGATGCTTTTTTTTTTTTAACAAAATAAGAAAGGAAAATTTGTATTTGACAGTACTTAAAGACTTGATTGGGCTTAGTGACTGGTTTAATGAAAAGATGTTTTTTAAACCTATGAATTTAAAAAGGAAAAAAAATTTCCATTGAGTTGATTCTAACTCATGGCAACCTCATGTATAACAGAGTAGAACTGCTCCATAGGGAGTTTTTTTGGCTGTAATCTTTACAAAAGCAGATCACCAGGACTTTCTTTTGGGGCACCATTGGGTAGGTTCAGACTGCTAACCTTTAGGGACCTATTAGAAATCAGCCAGATTTCCAAATTGGTTAAAGAGATACAAAATTGACCACTTATATAACTAAGTGGAATATTTATACATATGCTAAGTGTATATACACACATGTTCACACACACATGCTATAAATATACACTGTTTCATAAAAGAATTTTTTATCATCATAAATAGGAAGACCGTGATCTCAAAGCATAGTCATTTAAACTGTATAAACTATATTTATGGACCACTCATTACATTATTTATATTTTTCTCATTTTAATATGAAGTGACAGCAATGAACTTAATGACAGTATCATTTTATTTAAACTCTGTAAGATTTTTGTTTTGTGACTAGCTTCTTTTTTTCCCCCCATTTTATGAAGATGAGGGAGAATAAGTAGTATTAAAAAGATAAGTAAACAGTCTCATTTCTGTCTTACTTTGTTTTGTTTCTTTAGACAGAACATTTATTATATTTCTGGGATCTTTTTTGCTAGCACATAAGACTCTTTGAAGAGTTATGTAGTGGCATAAAAATGAATAGGCTGTTAGAGGAATAACCTGAACCAGTTCGTAATTATTTAGATTTGTTAACTAAATAAAGGTGGTATTTGCAAGTCAGTGAATCAGAATTTATCTCACTTAGAAGAAAAACTAATATAAGATTAATATAAGGTGCTGTGGTCTTCCATGAGGAGAGGGAGAGAATGAATAAAGGGGCAGACCATCTAGACAACTGTCAATCTTTTAGATTGAGACATGTCTGAAATACAACTAGAAATGTGATTTTAATAACTTTATACTTTCTGGAAACTCTATCAAAGTATTGTATGGCATTGGTTGATGATATTGGTTGTCATTAAGGTGCCTTTTAGGGAGGCTGGATATAGTAAAATTCAGGGCTTTTAGTTTCCTGGGGGGAATGTACAAATTCTAGGCTGAAGATTTATATCTCCTGACTGTGGAAGAGTGCTACTTTTTGCCCTTTTCAACATGCTAGTTTTCACATAAAAGTAAAAGAATTTGATGAAACACCAAAAAATATACTTACCTCAAAAAAAAAAAAAAAAAACCTCACTGCCATCGAGTTGATTCAACTCATAGTCATAGCAACCCTCATTGGGTTTCTCAAGTGGTATCTCTATGGAAATAAATTGCCTGATCTTCCTTCCAAGGAGTGGCTGGTGGGTTTGAACTGCCAGCCTTCTGGTTTGCAGTCAAATGCCTTAGGCATTTTGCCACCAGAGCTCTCATACTTACCTAACTGAACTCAACTCACTGCTGTTGAGTTGGATCCAACTCATAGCAGCCCCTCCTTGGGTTTCTGAGGCAGTATTAACCACAGAAGTAGATTGCCCATTCTTCCTTCCGAGGAGTGGCTGGTGGGTTTGAACTGCCAGCCTTCTGGTTAGCAGTCAGATGCCTTAGGCACTATGTCACCAGAGCTCCTATACTTACCTAGAGCACTTATATTAATTCTGACTCTAGACATTTCCATAATGTATACTTCACTTGCTTGAGACTGTCTAAATTTAGGAAAGTTTGCTAAAAATATTAAATTGGCAGGAAATTTTGAAATTTTGCTTTTACTGGTCTCACAATTTAACAGGCAAAAATCTTAAGTAGTTTTGTAATAACAGAAAGGGAAGAGATCTTCAGAGGGTGCATAGCTTGTAGTTTAACCACCCAGCTCTTGTTGTTGTTGTTGTTTGCCGTCGAGTCGGCCCCGACTCATAGCGATCCCTCTTTGGGTTTCCGAGGCAGTATCACTACGGAAGTAGGATTGCCCAACCTTCCTTCCGAGGAGTGGCTGGTGGGTTTGAACCGCCAGCCTTCTGGTACTG